AAAAAAAAAACGTGACATAATTAAGCGTGACGAAGAATCGCGCAATATTATAGGAAACAACAACGTTGTTGTCGATTGGGTCGGATTTATGAATTACAATTTACCGGTTTACCAGACTCTATATGCAGATTCACTGGTATGATCCTATGGATGTCCTTTGATAACCGATTTACGTTTAAAGTTTAAGGAAGTTCAAGGACAATCACAAGCAATGGATTTGATAATCAACCTATTCCTAAACGAGAATGCTTATGCACTTGTAATTGAGCAAAGTGACATCTTGACAATCAATGCTAATATTCAATAAAACTGTAGATCAATGCTATATAAATCGGTTATGAATGCGGCGGAAATTCAACCTTCTCTTTAAGGTAATTTTTATGCATATTGCTTAGATTTGCAATAACGTCAAAAAAAGCATAATTTTAGAATTGATTGGCGGATAATGCCAAAATACGAAAGTAAAAAGCAAGAATTGTACATATTATAAGCCATTCAGGATTGGTATAGTGGATTTTATAAAATTTCGCTTCTAAACATGATATTACATAATTGTTTGAAGTGTATGAAGATTCCAAATTCGAGCTAACCGACCGCTAATCTAAATTAGTTAATTATGTAAAGTTTTAAATGCAGCTTTGCAAATGAAAGCGCCGTATGTATAAATGTTTGCTACGTACTGTCATTTTATCATGTTTCAAGTAATTTAGTGCACATGATTTGTTTGCGTATAATACTATATAATAAGCTATAATAAACTATAAAGTCGAAGGCTTCCTAATATTGCAAATTTCCAAAAATCTACAAATATAATTTCAATCTTTCGTTGTCATGATAGCAAATTTCTATCATGTTTATGCTAAATGAATATTCAAACCTTTAGATTCAAATAAATTTAATTAGTACACATATTTTAATTTTGATCTTATGTACACACTTTTACCTTCATACACACTCTCGAAATACTTAATTAAACACTCTTTATTTCTTGGCAAAAAAATAGTCAAGAAATTTATTTTAAATGCATTATTTTTAATGCTTATAATTCAGTTGTACACACACTGTTTTTGTGTGTTTATTAATTAGACACAAAACATTATACACATCTCTTAATTTCGAATCATTGCACTGTTATTATTACTGTATTATATTTCTACTCGTGTCTGTTGAGATGGCTTGGAGATATTATGTATTCTTATTTGTTTATATTTCTAAATTTACGAATTAGCTTTAATTATTACCTTGTACGGTAGAGTTTTAATATATTGTGTTGATGATAGATTTACGTCATATCATTTATCCCTGTCTTTTAGTATGATCGATCACTGAGTTCACTGAGTTCGGGGTAGATCATGCATGTGACGAATGTGACGAAAATAAGCGATCGGGTAGATGGGTCTTTTGGGGATTATTGGTTGGGTTATAAATATAGTGAATATTAGTTTTATTTTTTATATTACAAAGGTGAATAAAAAATTATATTTTCATATCTGAAATAATCTTTTTCTAATGAACTTGTAGTGAACTGTGATAAAATATAGTATAGGTGATACTAGTGGTGATCTGATTGGCTCACTAGGGCTAATATGTAAATCAAAATTATATGTGGTTATTAACAATGTAAGTACGCGTACGTACGTACGTACGTAATATATATTTTATATATATAATTGTGTCGCACTTTTTTAGATGCATGGGTTGTACTTTCTTTTTTCATCGAAAGTTTTAATACAACCCGATTTTTGTTCATTATTAAAATAAAGCTATAGAGCCGTTTTTACATTGTATATATGGAAAAAAATTTTTTCCTCTTACCTATTTTAATTCCATTTTTTTTACTTGATTTGCGCGGATAAGTGTTAAATCAACAAGTAAATTATTTTGTAAAAATATAATTTTGCTCTATAGCTTTATTCTTTGAACCTTAATGTTGATCTCCTCAAAGTCTCGCTTCAAAATTATTTGTCGTTAAGGCTGTGCATCTAATTGAACTTGGGAAATATGGGTGTTTATAAATTACGTTAAAAATTGTTGATCGATCTGGTTACACAAAAAATCTGATATCGATATTAAATTTTTATACGATACCACACATAATTTTGATTTACATAGTATCGGTATAACGCACACCCCATTGGCTCGCGGTTAATGTTAACTAAGCCGTGTCGATTCTTATGCTCTACAGACAAGGGACAAGCTATTTATAAGCTGACCAACCTCGAGCCAGCCCCGCCACTTTTCTAAGCCAAACTAACATTTGAAATCCCGGTTTTTACTTTCGAATTATATGTACAGTCAACCCTCCGTAAATGCACCCCTTGGGACTATAAGCAAACATTTTTAAAAATGTACATTTAGAGAGGGTATGCATTTATGGAGGGCATTTTACAGTATTAAGTGCTTGGTACTGAAGATTAGTATGCATTTAAAGTGTTTATACATAGTGCATGTATTTATGGAGAGTGCATTTATAGAGGGTTGACTATATATAAGATATCAAAAAATTTCATTGCAATCATTATTAGCTAATAATTATGTGATTAAGAGCTATCAACTCACGGCTTTAGAGTTGGTTCAAAACCTCAATGCATTTTAAAACTAACACATTATTAATAGACTTGTAACCAAGCCGTTAAGCCTGATTTAACCATTTTGTTTATGGTTTAGCTTAAACAATTTGTATTATTTTAAATCAAAATAAATAATTATTATCTTAAATCAAAATAAATATTATTATTTTAAATCAAAATAATTTTTTTTTAATATTTAAGCCCTATAATATATATAATACAAACTATACTTTTTCTCTTATTAACCTTTTTGTTAAGCTA